CGGGGTTTTTAAAACCTCATATAGTGGGTGGGGGAGTGACTCCCAATAACAAAAGAACCGAGGCGGTGGTTGGGGGTTTGGGGAATTCTGGGAGTTGAGGTCCACCCATCTTAAAGTTGCCAAGTTTGAAAAACACTGTTCTAACTTTATGGACATACTCAGAATTCATAAATCACTGTTAGAGGAGTGATCTAAATAGGAAACCGCACACACATTCCATTTGCCATAATGTGAAGAATGAGCCTTCAGTTTTTGGATTTGTTTTTTTTTTCCAACTGTCCTCTTTCCACAGCACCCCCTGAACTCTCTATGTAATTTTGCTTCTCATAAACAAAGAGATCCCTGCCATTACCTTCATCGTGGTTCTGATGCAGCATGACATCTGGTGGAGCATGAACAGAGTTCCCCGGGTGGAAGAAGGGAGAAAACAGCACATGAGAATTTCTTTGCTTCAAGATGTGCTGAAGAAGCTCATATAACACATCACCTGAAAGAAAAAAGCCAACTCAGGAAAATGAATTTTTAAAGACTGTTTGCTGTCTTTGAGGTCCCTAAAGATAAGGCAGGTTATATGTATTCACTTATTTATCTGCATTAATTCTGATATTGCCCAGCCCCCAGGAAAATAAAATACAATTCTGGAGAAGTCCATGGCTTCTTCCTTTCAAGGCACAAAACTCTGCCTTGCAGTTGAGCTGCAGAAAAGTATTTACTAGGTGTTCTGTTCTCCACAACTCACAAAACACATTTGGCTTCTTCAGGAGAAGGTTTGCTCCCTTGCGTGCAGGTGAGATCCATCAGATCAGTTTTTCAAGGAAAGATGGAGTCAACAGGGCATGTTTACCCTTGAGGAAAATCAACTGATGTTTGATAGCCCTCTTTAGTCACCTAACAGGATGTCACACAGGAGAAGGCCAAGACCTGTCTTTTCTCATTCCAGAATAAGAAACTGAAGTCAAGGGAACGTAGATTTTGATTTAATTTTGTTTCTGCGAAGAGGAAAAACAGAACCGCCAAGTTTGTAGATGCTGATCTTAAGGCTGCATGGGGCTATTTAGAGATGTGGGAAGAAGTCTTATCTCTTCAAGCACAATGCCTGTGGTAGATCTGGCCTCCACCTGAGAGGAGGAGCCAAATCCTGAAAAGTTCTTGGCTTTTCTTAAGCATTTCTTATGGAAGAATATAGGTAGTTGCTGCGTGTAGAAAACCTGTGTATTAGCCTGACTTTGAGAACATTTTTCTCAAGGCAGTGGTTCTGATGCAAAGTTGAAGCTCTTGGCAATTGTTTTAGATATTCAGATGCTTGAAGATCAGAAAGAACATGAGTATTGAGATCAAAGGAGTCTCCGTCGCACCAAACGTTGAAACACACCAGCACAAGATGGAAACTGAATAGATGAGTGATTTGTATGCTCAAGGAAGGGATCTACCATCTTCTGGATGATACAGGCATTACTTTTTGTCTTAATTGAAATGAGAAAAAAATCATTCTTCTATCCCCCAATAAAAGAAAAGGGCAGATTGTGGCTTGCACTTCAACTATGTTTCAGCCCCAGATCCATGATTTGGCTTGAGTACTTGGGTTTGTCCTTCTGATGAGAAAATACTAGTCTAGAACTCATGGAGAGATAAGGTAGACAACCTCCTCTGAAGGCTGGTCATTGGGTGATCTATGGCAAAAGAATGAAGTGTGCTGTGATACAATGAGGAACTGTTGATGGTCTGAACCACTGCTTGATATATGTAGAAAACTAAGTCTGGGCTACTGGAGAACTTTAGGACAGTATGACTATTGATCCTGTGATATGGACTTACTTTGCTGAGAATAGCAAAGTAAATAAAGAAATAATTTCAGCTTGTTTTGGATTGAACTGCACCTCCATGCAGGCCAGAGTATCAGATTTGCAATGCAGGAGTGATCTTAACCTAGTTTTTCAACCCAGAGCTCTGGCCAGATGTGTCTGGAGGTTGAGTCATGGCAACTGGACTTCTTTTCTTTTGGTTTGATAGATTTCACTGCTTGTCCAAGCAGCTTCTTCAGTCTTGGACAAGCAGTGAAACATATCAAACCATGACTCAATCTCCAGATAATTCCACCTGGATGACTGAGAATCTTCATCAACATACTGGCCAGATGTGCTTTTGCAAGTTAGGCTGATGTTCATGTTAATTTCTGCAGAAGTAGGACCTAGCCTTGATCTTGGAGAACTTTAGCTGAGAGTTACAATTTTAATAGAAGCCAACATGTTAGATCAACTGCAACCATTCCCAGTTAATTTCCAAGGACAAATGATGGTTGCCTTTAAATCCCCAGTTTTGGAAATTTAGCGAGGCAGAACCCAGGACACTTCTCTCACATGATCCTGCCCATCTACTCTGTATCCTCTCAATATCACAGCACTTGGGAAGGAGCCTTCTCTGTTAGACTGATAGACTGACTTGTTCACTTCTGAGTTTCAGACAGGCCAAAGCACTTTGTGTGGCTGAGGTTATAGTTTGATCAGTGTTGTAGTGGTGTTGCTGCTGTTTTTAATGCTACAACTTATATTACTCTTAAAAACATTCTTCACAGTTGTTGTATGTTCTTTTTAATAACATTAACTGCTGCTCTGGATATCTTGTATTAAATTATAAATATTTCCAATACATTCATTTTTCATACCACACCAGCAATTCTCCTTGCAACAATATGGCAATTACCAGAAGTTAACATGAATTTGTCAAGAATAAGTCTTCCGGACTAACCTTATTATTTCCTAATTTCCTAATAGATTGTGGGAATGCTATAGTCATAATATATCTTGATTTCAACAAAACATTGACAAAGTATCCCATGACATTCTAATTTGCTATATAGTTAACTGGACAATAACACGGATACATGGTTGGCTGGAAAATTGTACTCAAAAACTAATCACCAATGGTTCTTTCTCAAATCTAGTGGCATGCCACAATATTCATTTTGTACCCTCTCTCCCACAATATTTTTTATTACTGACTTGGATGAGTTGCGGGAGGGAAATGCTTATCAGATTTGCAGATGACACAAACAAAAATGAGTGTGATAGCTAATGCTCTAGAAGATGGAAATAAAATTTGAAACAATCTTGACAAGTTAAAGAAACAGTCTGAAAGGAACAGAATGAAATTTAACAGAAACAAATGTAAAGTTCTTTATTTAAACAATCCAAAAAAATGCACAGATGAAGGATGGGGGATAGTTGGCTAGGTAACAGCACTTGAAAAAAGTTCTTGGAATAGTAGTTGATCACAAGGCTAATATGAGCCAGCAGGGTGATATGGCTACAAAAAAGGCCAATAAAATTTTAGGCTGTATCAACCAAAACCTAATTTCTAAATCACAAAAAGTATTTTCCATTGATCAGACCCCACCTTGGAGATGCTCTATCTTGTTCTGAGCAGCACCCTTCAAGAAGGGTTCAAGGAAACAAGATCAGGCTCAGAGACAGACAATGAAGATGAGCAGGGACTAGAAATTAAGCTGATCGAAGAGACTGAAGAAGCTGGGAATGTTTAATCTTGAAAAGAGATGGCTGGAGGCAGGTGGGGTGGGGGAGATGTGTATGAAAGTAGTTTTCAAATGCCTGAAAGGATGTCACACAGAGGAAGGCCAAGACCTGCTTTCTCTCATCCCAGAATCCAGAACCCAGAATAATGGATTTAAGTTAGGAGAAGGAAAGTTCTGGTTGAAGGTCAGGAAAAACAAAATTCCCTAAGAGAGCAGTTCTCAGAAATGTGGGGGGCTCCCTTTGGTTGGCTGGGTTCAAGAGGGGGACAGATGACCATCTTTTAGGAATACTTCCATTTGGATTCTTATATTGAACAAGGTGTTGGAGTTGACAGTGTAAAGGGTCCCTTTCACCTCTGGGATTATGTGAAACAGGAATCCCTCCAACATCAGCCCGATCCCCTTCTATGCTAAACCCAGATGCTGTGGTTGCTACTTCTGAACCATCCAGGTATTGCTCACATGGATGCTGAGCCCATTTGAAGAGGCCAAGGATTCCACCCAACACAGAAGTAGCACGGAATACAAGAGACTCAAACTTGGTAACAACATTTAGTAACATTATAACCTGAGTAGAATTCTCCCATTTGCATATCTACCAGCTTCCTATTAGTTTTTATTTTTAATGGGAAAGACTGGGACTTATTCTATTAAAATATATTTGTGACATCTATTTGCATCAATAATATCAGAATTTTCTGACAACAACTGCCCACAACGATCCCTCCAAGCACAAGTTTGTATGATGAGAATGAATCAAATTTCCACCAACCTCCCTTTCCCCATTCCACTTACAAAGGAAGAGTTTGGAGTTATTTTATTTCTCCCTTCACCCTGACTTGTATTATCTAAAATAACAATCTAAATGGGGTTAATGTTAACTGGAATTTGTCTGATGTTATGGTTAAACTTTGTTTTTTTTCATCTAAACTGAATCGGGGGTGTGCAACATTTCTGCAGTAAATAAATATTTATAACAATAATATTAATGCAATAAAGATTATTTAAAAATATTGCAGGAGTTGATTCTCTCTCACATCTAATCTCTAACAGATATTGCATTTTTGCCCTCTAATGGAGTAAGAGATTTCCTTCCTCAGTTGGTTCTTAAATTACTTACCAGAATGTGGAGACCTGTATCGGAAGTCCTCTTTGGTTAGTAGCAAGAGAGCTTTGCCATTCATCTCAAAGGTATTGCTGTCGATGGGTCTGAGGGAGAACTCCTTCTCCGCCCACTTCAGCCACTGAGCCACATCATCCCTGCTCCAGTAAATGGGTTGCAAACCTGTAGAGAAATCAACAGAACGATGTCATCAGGAAGACACTTATATTCCCTTGGTGGAGGCAAGCAAGGTCCATAGATGGGGAGAAGTGTGGGTAATGAAATTAGTATTTCAAAACCACAAATATGCATATATGTGCACTAAGTTAGAGAAGCTAGAACTCATGGTTTTGAAATATACAGGTCTTCTGATATTGACCACAACACAGATACTGTGGATATTAAGCTCTTCCACTTTGCTACTTCCTGAAAAATATCTTTTTTCTGGAGTACAACATATTTCTGGAAATACAACCTTCTACCTAGGCACTGAGCAAGATCAAGGAAGGTGTCCTGTACTCTCATAATCCGCCAGGATAAAGAGAATTTGTCACTCTGTCCGTAGGCTTGTCTTAGGACCACAGGCTTCACCCTCAGAGGATGGAGGGGATGAGTGCCTTGCTTTCAACTGTGGGAAAAGAAATAGAATCTTTACGGACGACCCATAGTTAAGAACGGAGCCTACTGTAGCAAAATC